AACAAATACAGTGTTTAGACATATCTCTGATCTCAGGGAAAAGACAAACAAATACAGTGTTTAGAAATATCTCTGATCACCGAGAAAGACGGAACAAATAGAGTGTTTAGACATATCTCTGATCACCGGGAAAGACGAAACAAATACAGTGTTTAGACATATCTCTGATCACCGAGAAAGACGAAACAAATACAGTGTTTAGACATATCTCTGATCACCGAGAAAGACGAAACAAAAACAGTGTTTAGAAATATCTCTGATCACTTGGAGAGACGAAATAAATACACTGTTTAGACATATTTCTGATCACCGGGAAAGGCGAAACAAATACAGTGTTTAGACATATCTCTGATCACCGAGAAAGACGGAACCAATACAGTGTTTAGACATAAGCTCCCAAGTTCTGCCGACAAGGGTTCGCTGAGCTGTCGGTCTGTCTTCGTTATGATGAAAGATGTCGCCACGGATACTCACTAAGTGAACAGTGGGAAAGAAGTTCTCCCTGACTCCCCTTCCTTGTCTTTGATGGAAACTCACGAAAGGGAAGACGAGGATAACAAGTTAAGTAAACCAAGTCATTAACGGAACATTGATTAGTTTAACACGGGAATCTGACTTAAGCTTATTATCCTCTTTACATGCAAGCTTAAGCCCTGGATTGGAAAACGTATTTGTTACCCACGCTGACAAAAAGATATCTTCTTTTGAATCCAAGAAAAAAATTAACCAAATTCTTTTAAACAAAGTGAATGATCTTAAAAGCATTTTTTTTTGTCAAAAACTAAAATTCCATCATTTTAAATCGTATTGATGTATTAAAATACGTTTTCGAGAAAAACAATCAACTTAGTACGACATAATGCGAATAAAACTTTTGTAAGTGTCAGCTAAACATTTTCTTTTGTCATTGTTTATAATGAAAATATTTATATCGGGTATTAGAAGATCCAAGGCTCGAACCCGCTCCCAGTTTACGGTTAAGAGTAGCCGTGTAAACGGCGTGTCTTGTTGACTGGTTGCCAGAAGCTAAAAATTAGAGACGGCTATGCCTAAATACTGAGTCTTTGATGTGGCCATTTAGCCTAAATGTAGCATAAGGTGTCGTTCAAATTGAAAATACCGATACTATGTATTAACTTGCTTTATGTTATTGCCAGATTATACTGGATGCAAATACATATCTGGTGTACTTGTGTTCTAAAATACACAAACTAGACTAAGTGCTTTATCACCCACAAAACGTGCAGTTATTTTGATCGAAAGTCCTGTGATGCTATTTAACAAAGAAGATTTTCAGAAAGATTTCGCAAAGTGTACACATAACTGTATATAAAATTGGGTTTTGTTTTAAATTCAGACAGAGCGATCGGTTTAGGCGGGCTCCTAGTTCCGTTGATCACCTCGAAGCAAATCAATAATTTCTGTAGCTCTAAAACTTTATTTTGACATTTTCGAAAACACACGTCTGCAATGCCTCTTTGAAATTGTAAATGGAAACACACGTCTGCAAGGCCTCTTTGAAATTGTAAATGGAAACAATCTAGTAACTAACATATTTAAAGACATTCATGTTTAAACTATGAGGCCCAGGTAGCTCTTTAGCTAATATAACGATCATAATATTTATATATTTATAACTATACAACAATGTCCAACATACTTAATATAAGTGGGGTTACAACAAAACAGCAGTACTACTAACGACTATAGAATTTTATTTTATTCTGAAAAAGTAAATACTTTAGCCCAGCTGCATAAGTTACAAAGTGGCATTTCAAACACACACCTGAACTATTTTTTATTTTGTCCAACAGGTGGCAGCACATTAATTTAGATACAATGTGCAGCAATATTTGTTTGTTTGTTATTAAGCACAAAGCTACACAGTGGGCTATCTGTGCTCTGCCAACCACGGGTATCGAAACCTGGTTTCTAGCGTTGTAAATTCGCAGACATACCGCTGTGCCACTGGGGGGCGCAGCAATATTAAAGAAAAGTTTTATTTTAACCCCTTCTCTGCAATAGCAACGTCTAATAAAGGTTGGAGACGGCTTGAATGGGTAATGAAGAAAAACTTTAATATAAGTTTAACATAACAGCAAACTTACATTAAAGTTTTTCTTCACTACCCATTCAAGCCGACTCCAACCGTTATTAGTCTCAAAGTGGGTTCCTCGTCATCGAATTTGAATAGCAACGTCTATTCCCTATACAGAAGCTTTGTGTGTGTGTGTGTGTGTGCGTGTGTTGAAGCGAGGATTTTGTTATGATGTTGCGATTTTTGCTACATAGTTTTAAAGCCACCAAAATAGGTTGTTTATTATTATATTTGCCGGAATCCTTTGTTTGGTGACGTCTTATCTACTCAGCTTTTAGTAGCGCTCATAAATCGCTCGCGCAAAATTTTTAGGCCTTCTGTTCTCTGTTATGAAATTTATTAATCTTGATATACATTTACGCAGCGCATACATTACATGCATCCAGTATCAGAAAGGTATTTGAGATAAATCTTGGGGCTTCTCCAAGATTCACAGCTTTGTAGAAGTTAAAACATAATTTATATTTTCTTTCAAATTATTATGGCTAAATAGCCCCATGATTTATCTAACAACAGTTTTGAAAGTAGTTTTTCCTGACGAAACTATGCGGTATTACATGCCGTTTGTCAAGTTGGTCTTCACAACATATGATATAATCACTAAAACACTAATGAATTTCCATGGGGTATATTATATGCATAGCCCAGGCAATTACATCATTGCGAGAATGTAGGGACATAAGGTTAGTAGTAGAAAGGGCTAACAAACTTACCTATAACATCAGTAATGAAACTAATGTTCTTTTGGATCGAGTATAAACAAAACAGCTCCTCCGTAAAATATTTCAGATTCCAATATTTCCTTTACAAGCGCATAATACAGGAAAAGTTTTACTTTAATACAACGATCCATAAGAGGAAAACAAGAAGTACAGTTGGTTTATTGGCTAAGCCCAGTGTGAATGCAGTTATTGTATGTAGTTGGAAACTTGGAGGCGTTCCATTTATGAATGTCCTCCCTTCGTTCCCAGTAAAAAAAAACAACAAAAAACCCGTCAGTGTAAACTGTTAACATTACGACACAGTTGTCAATTAAGTTAGAGATAACAAGACAGCTAAGGTTAGGTGTGTAAAGAAATACTCGGAGCAAAATGATTTATTACCGTGCACAAACGGTTTTAAATTGCATAGAGTCGGAAAAGAGCTGGCTTCATCAAGCCTGTTTAAAATAGTATCCTAATGGTCTCTGGTGTGACGTGAACGAATTAATAAATTTCCCTGTTTATGATTCCAATCCTCCAGCAAGTAGACACTCGTGTGGTGATGGGACTATGTACTTACTACTCCGTTCCCGGCCCTTAAAAAAGCGGCTCAGCCGTCCTGAGCAACTTCGCAAATAGACCCTCACTTAATTGCCCATTTCATATCGCAGCAGTTCATTAAACACTTCTTAAAATCAATTCATCAGTCCTCGAATGTCAGCGTGGTTGCCAATAGCGAATAGACTAAGTGCTACTAGATATAGCTCAAGACTGCCATAGTTCTACCACCACTGAAAAGCCACGATAACACTGGGGAGGAGTCGGGGAGGTGATAATGTCATGGGTGACGTTATGCGTCGAGTATGGTGAGACACACAGTTCAGAAAAGAGAACCCACAAGCCTAGCAGTAAAACTGATATGGTCAGCAGTGAGAGAATAGACATACGTGGATAAAAAGTATCTTAATTAGAACCATTGGCTAATCCGTGATTTGTTCTTTGAGGAATTATAAAGATGAGTACTGAACACACAGAAAAACAAGACAGGGAGACAGACGAGCTGAGGACGAGTAACATTAAGTCCTCTCCTCCAATGTCCTCTGATTTTTTAATAGAAAATTTACTTTCCAGACAACCAACTGTGAACTCTGACAAAGGTTGGACAATGGTCAATCGAAGCACATCTTGTAACAATCTCCCTGTCGTATCAGAAAAAAATGAAACTTTTAATATAGATATTACTTCTCGTTCAACATCGGATACAGAGCATACGTGGATGCACCATTCTTCTTATGCTGACCGTTGGTCAACGGGAGTGACCCCCAGTATTAGTCCTCTGACCACTGCGCAGGATGGAGAGGAACTGGAAAGTTGTCAAGCAGATAGCCCGTCTGAAAGTGAAGGTATGCTATCAAATACGTGCAATTGAATACTTGTACTAAATAATTTCCCCGAAAGTCACAGGGAGATATATTGAAAATAATTTTAATTTTTGAACTGGACATTTATCTTGACAATCGCCAGAAAACTGTAGATTTTTTAATAAAACGGTCATTTTCAATTAAGATGTTTTATTTATTTCAGGATTAAGTTATATTGGAAACAAAGTTTTTCACATATATAATTCTTACCAGTTATAAATAAGTCAGATTGCTTTCTCTGATTTATAACAGCAAAAGCTTACTATGCACGACAGATTAATCGTAAAATTTGGCTTACAGTATAAATGACCAGAGACTAAAGTTTTACGAAAACAATATAGTTAATTAGAGTGATATTTGAACGATAATGTTTGTTGTTGACGTTGTGATCTAATGAGAAATGTTAATGTTCAGTTTTTGGTGAATTTCATGTGAACGAGGAGTAAGTAGTCGTTGGAGCAGGAGATTTTTCTCACGAAATGCCAGAAAAAATAAAATAAAACTGTAATAATTAGTTAATTAATTTGTAGTTTATATCATGCATATATGAAATGACAGATAGCTCAAAGGCCAAAGACTGTGTATCTGAACGTTTCATCTATGTTCTGTTTTTCGTCACAGTTCTTGATCTGTGCTTTATCATGTTTATAACTAGTGAGTCAAGTACATGATTCTTTTTTCAACTCGCAAGGGTCGTAAGTTCTTTGATTATGAAAAACAAAATAGTTACAGAGAGAGAGAATTAAATAATCATGTTTTAATACGATAATCAGATAATGGATATCTACTGATAAAAAGGTTATAATGAATTATATTTTAACTAGTCTTGTAAATAAAAACCATTATGTAATTTGTATGCCAAACACAAATACACATAAATGAGTCAACAAATGGTGTATATGTATTTTAACAAGTGTTAGAAAATCTAAAATTATTTATGGAGTAATATATACATTTAAAGACGTTAACTGCATACATGAAAAGCTACGCCAAACGTTGCTAATATATTTATAATAATATATATATTTAAATAATTAACTGTATGCATGAAAAGCTACGCTAAACGTTGATAATGTAACTATAGTAATGTATACATTTAAAGACGTTAACTGTATGCATGAAAAGCTACGCTAAACGTTGCTAATATATTTATAATAATATATACATTTAAATAATTAAATGTATGCATGAAAAGCTACGCTAAACGTTGATAATGTAACTATAGTAATGTATACATTTAAAGACGTTAACTGTATGCATGAAAAGCTACGCTAAACGTTGCTAATATATTTATAATAATATATACATTTAAATAATTAACTGTATGCATGAAAAGCTACGCCAAACGTTGCTAATATATTTATAATAATATATACATTTAAATAATTAACT